TGCAACTTGGTGCAGTTTGGTGCAGATAGGTGCAACTTGGTGCAGTTTGGTGCATCTTGGTGCAGTTTGGTGCATTTTGGGGCAGATTAGTGCAGTTTGGTGCAATTAGTGCAATTTAGTGCAACTTGGTGCAGTTTGGTACAGATAAGTGCAACTTGGTGCAGTTTGGTGCAGCTTGGTGCAACTTGGTGCAGATTGGTGAAACTTGGTTCACTTTGGTTCAACTTGTTTCAGTTTGGTGCAATTTGGTGCATTTTAGGGCAGATTAGTGCAGTTTGGTGCAATTAGTGCAATTTAGTGCAACTTGCTGCAGCTTTCTGTAACTTGGTGGAACTTGGTGCAGATTGGTGCAACTTGGTGAAGTTTGGTACAGATAGGTGCAGCTTGGTGCAGTTTGGTGCTGCTTGGTTCAACTTGGTGAACTTTGGTTCAACTTGGTGCAGTTTGGTGCAGATTGGTTTAACTTGGTGGATCTTTGTGCAACTAGATGCACTTTAGTGCAGATTGGTGCAGCTTGGTGCAATCAGATTCAGATTGGTGCAACTTGACGCAAATTGGTGCAGATTGGTGCAACTCATCGAACTGCACTAAATTACACCAAACTGCACTAAGTTGCATTAGTCTGCACAAAGTTGCATTAACCTGCTCCAAGTTGCACCAAACTGTATCAAGTTGCACCAATCTGCAACGAACTGCACCAAGTTTCACCAAGTTGCACCAAAGTGCACCAATCTGCAGCGAAATAACCAAATTGCACCAAGTTTCACCAATGTGCACCAAATCGTACCAATGTGCCCCAATCTGCACCAAACTGCACAAGTTTTATCAAACTGCACCAAGGCTCAACAATCTGCACCAAACTGCATCAAGTTGTACCAAGATCCACGAAGCTGCACCAAGTTGTACCAAACTGCTCCAAGTTGCATCAAGTTGCACCAAACTGCACCATGTTTCACCAATCTGCACCAAACTGAACCAAGTTGCACCAATCTGCACCACGTTGCACCAAACTGCACCAATCTGCACCAAGTTACACTAAAGTGCACCAAGCTGCACCAAGTTATACCAATCTGCACCAAGTTTCACCAAATTTCACCAATCTGCACCAAACACCACCAAATTGCAACAAGGTGCCGCAAACTGCACTACGTTGCACCAAACTGTACCAAGTTGTACCAATCTGCACCAAACCGGACTAAGTTGCATGAAGCTGCACCAAACTGCACCAAGCTACACGAAACTGCACCAATTTGCACCAAGTTGCACCAATCTGCACCAAGTGGCACCTATCTGCACCAAGTTGCACCAAACTGCACCAAGTTGCAGAAAAGATTTTTGGCTACACCTTGTTCTCAGGCAGTGGAGATATGAACTTCGGCCATGGGTTGGAATATTGATCGTAAAGAGTGGGAGCAAGGGTATGGTTTGTTCAGACTAGACCTGACACCAGCAGGAAATTGTCACCCTAGTCACCTGGTTTCACATCACAGCGGTAACGTCAATTTGTATTTGAAGTTTGACACTCCAATGCCAGCGGTTCTCAATTTAATTGTGTACACAGAATTTCAAAATCAGTGAGAAATTGATTGTAACAGACGCATGGTGTACGACCTGTCTCAAGGCGCTTGAAAAACAAGAAAATGCATACCACTTTTGAGTTATGGCAAGCGGCAATAGAAGATCCCATGTTGGCTCCTATTATGCAAGGTGTCTACCCGAGAGACAAGTTACCTATTGTTAACAAGTATCCTTCTGGACTGATTGCAAATACGGATCCTCATGATAAACCTGGGACGCACTGGGTAGCCACGTACTTCATCTCTCTGTGGGAGAGTGAGTTTTTTTGACAGTTATGGGTTTTCTACCGATACCTATGGCACACATGGATACATCAACCAGAACGTGACCCATTACAATGATAAACCGTTCCAAGGACTTACTTCAGACACTTGTGGGGACTATTGTTTGTTTTATCTACTTCATCAAAAACGTAACGTTGATATGAACACAATTCAAGCTAGATTTAAACAACACTATACACAGTGGAATGATGCACAAGTAGCAACTTTTGTACACAGTTATGTAAAAAAATCGTTGACGAGTATTAGACATAACCTACTGTTTTCTCAGCGTGAGCAAACTTGTAAATCATTAAAATATTGGCGTAATGAATCAATAAACCATTGCTTAAAATGAAAATGTTGTGTTATATTTCTGTTGGTCTCCAGATATACCCCTATAAAAGGAATGACACCTGTAGTTTTCACATCAGTTGGTCTTCTTGTCTCAGTGAGCAACGTGGCTCAATTCAAATGTCCATGCAGTATCATGATCATGGGCCCCAGCTAATGTGGAAAAACCACGTTCACCAGACAGTTTATTAAATATGCAAATGTTTTGTTTGAAAGACCAGTCCATAAAATCGTGTACTGTTACGGACAGTGACAAGAGTGCTATCAAGACATGGCGTCACAAATTACGTTTGTGGAGGGTATTCCTGAAGATATTCCTGCATTATTTCCATTGCATTGTCATCCAGGAATACTCGTGTTAGATGATTTTATGAGAAACTGTAGTGAGGACGAACATATCCTGGATCTATTTACAAGTGTCTCATCATTGTAATGTCACTTGCCCCTATTCGACCCAGAACCTTTTTCCACTTAGGAAATTTTCAGAAGCATTTCTCTCAATGCTTATTACATCATCGTTTTTAATAATCCTTGCGATACACTGGGTTTAAGAACGTTGGCACAGCAAGCCTTTGCAGGACATGTTCCTTACGTATGGGAAAGTTTTCAAGATGCGACATCGCAGCCCTATGGTTATCTCATGTTTGATTTACATCCATGAACACCGGTCACCCTGCGATTATGCAGCAACATCCTACCTGAATCACAATCTTACCCTGCGGTTTACATCAACAAGAAACGCATAAAACAGACAGCCCTCTGACTGTTGACGTTAGTTAGCAACATGCCTGTGTGTAAGTGACGTCGCTCAGTAAAGTCAAGAATTGCAAATCAACGTGGTGGTACTATGGTCTTACGTTCTGGTACTATAACCCAGACAAAACGGGTAAGAGGAAAGCAAGCAAATGCAAAAGCAATCCAAACTCCGACAACATTTGCCTTTCCTTTGTGCATGTTTTAAAAGTAATGAAAAGCAGCAAAAAGATATGATAACTCATGCTAACATAGGATAAATGGAAGCTATTGGGGAAGTGGCTCTGAATCTCCTTAAGGGCAACATCATAGTACCTACTTCATCATTTAAACGACTGAAACCACACAAGTCAAAGCTCCTCTATTTGGCTTGCAAGAAACCGAGCCTTAAAAAGAAGAAGGAAGCGCTTAATCAAAAAGGAGGATTTTTATCAGCTCTCGCTGCACTGGTTGCCCCCCTTACTGTTGATTTACTGGGTAAAGTGTTCATACCCGAGCATTTATTACAAAGTCTGGAGACAGAACGAAGTTTAACTACTCCTGCGCAGCATCCAACACTGACAAGATTAGACCAAGACATGAAGCAAATCATAGAGTGTCCTTTACCAGAAGACCAAAAAGTGTTTTTACTGGATTGGTTACTACAGAGGAATCAAGGATTAACCAACCAAATGAAAACGGAGACCACGATAAAACCAACCATGGTCCTTCCCAAAGCAGATCCTTTGCCTACCACAGATACAAGTGGGAAAAATGATGTATGCACACCTAAAGAAACTTCTACAAACCCAGATCTCGATACTTTGAAATCAAAGTCAACTAAAGCACCTAGAAAATTGTCCGCAACACCTCAAACACGAGAGTAAAAAAAATGACGTCTCTTGTTTCACCAGAGGAAATGTCACTTCCTTTGATGTCAGACACTCCACCTGATTCTGCACGCAAATCATCTAGACGGAAACCGAAAACAACTATAGTGGCAAGATTACGAAGCAATAGACAATGGGAACCTTGTTAATCCTGACAAACTGGTTGTACGTGAGTGACACCTTAAAAGGAGAGAAACAAGGTTTTCATTTCACTTATCTTGAGCTTAACTTTGCACCATGGTACCCAATATCAATGAAGATCACATTAACTATGGTGCAGAAGTAAACGATGAAAGGACAAAAGAGGCCTACTGGATATGCTTAGCATTTTTAATCTACGATGATCTGAAGAAAAAGAATCCAACATCAGTACAAGACAATCAGACGTTGTCGTCAAATCTAGATTTTGCGTTTACAGATCTCAGTCAATATGAGTCGCGTGGTTACTGGTTATGGCATGATTTGCTAGACATACTGGATTTACTGGCACCGTATGAGCAAGACTGGCTTGATTATCCACAGCAGGAAAGAGAACGCATTGAAAGAGCTATTTTGCATCTTAATGAATTTTGTAAAACCTGTTGGTACTGGTTAGGCTTGTTAATCAATCGTATTGACAAAGTTGACAGGTTTTAAACCAGTTTTATTCAAACTATACAAAAAATGTATGGTGAACGGCATTTCACATAACACTTAAACCAAGATGAGTTACAAACAGTGTGGACTGTGTCTTCAAAACCTTGAGGTTATCAAGCCTGCATTTGATGGCCCAACTTACGTTGTGTTAAGTGGAAAGAGTGTCCCTTTTTCTGTCCTGAAGAGACTGTGCGCGGATATCAGCCGTGTATCTACGAACGCATTATTCCTGATTACAAAGTCTGTGAAGGAGGAAAACAGCTGTTTTGTAAACATGCAGAGGTGCCTACCTTACGAGTGTCAAGATCCGAAAGAAACCCATACAGACCTTACCTCTCATGCAGAAGAAAAGAAAAATTTCAGTAATTTCAATGGGCAGATGAACTTCCTATCATTGTTGAAGAAAAAGCACCTACCTACGACCCAAGACCTAAGCTACAAAGACAATTTGGTAGAACAGATGGTTATAGATATTAGACTCTACACATAAAGTGATGATGTAACCAAAAGCCATTCCTTTACTATTATTATTTCTTGTGTGTACAATAATATACTCTTTGAGGTGAATAAAAAGGTTTTGCGATGAAATACTGTGTTGTGAAAATTTTTTGTCTTCGCAAAATCGGGTCCACAAGTAAAAATATAATGTACTATTAAAAAATTTAAAAAAAGAACTGTAATGGGCTAGCCTCAGGGTTTGAACCTGGGTTTCTACGGCCACAACACAGCGTCCTAGACCGCTAGACCAGACCAGCCATTTCAATAGTTTAAAATTAATTTTTCATAATGTTTCCATGAATTCCCCGGTTCGCCCAGGGCTACGCTCATTAATAAAAGTGGCCCAGTTCCTGTCACCAAAAACCGGTTTGTCCTAGTTGCTGATTTTTGAGACGGGATGACCTGGTCTGCAGCCAGATGATCGCTTTTAATACCAATGCAGTGGCGGCACCTTAATTAAATGAGATATAAATCGATTTTTTTATTACAGCCAGATAGCTTGAGCATCAGGCCTTCCTTAGGAGTTGAACTTTTCACTTCTCTTCTCCTTTTTGCTTCATGATACACAGGCTAGTATATATCGAGATGGTGTAATATGGGATAAACGTCACCACAGCAAATCTAGAGTACCCGCAATTGCGGCTCATACATTAGCCCTCGAATAACAGAGTACAATTCAAATCAAACTAATGCCGAAAGCACGTCTCTTTTTTCAAATGGTTAAGTAAAAAAACTACTTCTCGCCCATGTACTTAAAATGACTTTTACTGGTCGCACGTTTCATGAAACTTGCCAGGCTAATAGCTGTAGAGGTTGATAGCAAGTGCTCAGTTAACGAAACAATCACAAATTGCTGGCTTTTTACATTCTAGTTGATTCAAAATAGAGGAATACTCTTCGGCTGAATATTATTTAAATAATCTAATAATTGCTGTTTTTCATAATAAAAGTTATTAGGGATTAGTATACCTTGAGCTTCTCAGAATTTAATATTTCTGACTTGATTTCCTTTAGTCTTGCTTCTTTTACTGCAGGAGGGAAACATTGAAAAAATTAGTTAAAGATGTCTTCATACTTGTCTTCTACTTTATGCAGACACGTTCAATCGCCCTCAAAATCTGGGAACCCAATAGAAGACTGTGGGTGCATGGACGGGAACATTTGACGTGTATTTTGTGTAATGGTGTATTATTCTATCACTAACCTGCTGATTTCGTTACTGCTCTTAGCGCGTCCTACATACGACAAAAATAAATACATAAATAAATAAATAAGGGTTAAGTTGCAATAAAGCTGAGTCAATAAATAGTGATTCGAACCACAATCATTAACACCAGCTTTTGAATTTGCAAAAGAAAGAATTTTGTCGCTAGTATCCGCTTAATAGATATATCTGCTATTGCAGGTCTATTTTCTTCCAAATCGAGAAATAACAGTGTGAAACTCACGGCATCCGTGCCTGCTATGATAGATAAGGGGTCCAGCTATATAATGGAGTCCTTAGGTTTTAGCCTGCGTAGCGAGCGTTGAAAGGGGAAGGAATTAGGACACTGAAAATGGAGAAAGAAGAGGGGGATTGGGGAAGAGGGCCCCTTTTCCTTTTCGCGCTTTTCTTCCTCTCCCTCTCACGGGGCTTTTTTGCGCCAGCCTTAAAGGCTATTGAGTTCGCACAAAACAGCTTCACTGTGCACAACAAGGTTGTTGTCTACTTAGTGTTTTTGCGAAAATTAACGAGGTCTTTTGCAGAGAAGTTTTTTCTTTACGTAATGCCGTTCTAATGCGCTTTGTTATCCTCGGATGTACACTTCAAAACCGTTGTTAAGAAAAAAAAAGAATAATAAACATTTCCAGTGCATATTGATTTAAAATAACGATATTTCAATGAGAGGCTTAAAAGGGTTCGACTTGACACTTTCTTTACACTCAACGACCGTTAGCTTAAAAAAAATAGAGTGAGTCAAATTAATGAAGTTCCATAACACAGTTACGTGTGACCTTGAGCGAGCTCGTAAGTAACTAAGTAAAACAGAAAATTAAAAGAGTGCGCAGGGGTTCAAATAACGGCCGGTCAACAGACAATGTCTGGTTAAAAAAGGCTTTGTCCCGTCAAACCCTTGGATGACAGGACATTTTGTCCGCTCTTTTACGCCTCTAACGTTCACTATTTTTTAAATATGATTGGTCAAAATTGGACATTATCGACGTTCGTGAAGGAAAAAAATTAGAGGGGGGGGGAGAGAAAAAGGCGACCAGATCAAGAACCTTTATCAAGGAAACCGTTCACAACACAGAGCCTCTGATAGGTCGCGGAAAAAGTCAGATTGCGTGAGATTTTCAGAGACAAATTCGCCGAAAAAACGGCCGATTTCGCGAGAATTCAGGGTAAAATTCGAGTCAAATTTCGCCGAAAAACGATCGTTAAAAAAAGCAAATTTCGCTAGAAAGCGATCGGTTTTGTGCTGATTTCACGCACGTTTTTAATGAAACATACCCTTCGAGCAGCGGTTTCTCTCTTGCATGGCTTTTAGCAGTTACGAAGTCGTTCGTGTGGCTTGTCTGTCACGTAGTTGGTTTGTTTACGTGAGAAACGGTTTGCTGCAGAGGTTTCTCACGGGACGTGAATAAACCAACTATGCGATACACAAGCCACGCGAATGACTTCGGAAACACTGAAAGCCATGCAAGAGAGAAACCTCTGCTCGCAGGGTAAATGAACAAAAAACCCGGCAATTTTGCCAGTTTTTTTTTTTTTTTTTTGGGGGGGGGGGGGGGGGGGGGCTGTGCAATAACAACAACAACAGAAACATCAACTACTTATAAATGTTGCCTTTTGTAAACCGGCAATTTTGTGTTCAAAACCCCCGCTTGCTTTGCGATCAGAGATCATTAGCTCTTTTAACAACAATGATCTCAGAAATGCGCCAATAACAAAGCTTCTTCTTTCGTGCACTGCTATCGACAAAAATATCAAAAGGTTTAAAAATAACCGAATATCCACTCCATCAATCGATACATCATAAGGTCACTATAGCCTGCGAACGGCAGACGTTTCTCCTCGCTCATCGCTGCTGAGAGACGTTTCGCGAGGAGGAACGTCTGCGACTCAGCGACAGAAATTCCATACTGATGACCTAAATCAATGTTTACATAATAAATCCGGTAGTCATGGGGTTCCAAATGCAAATTTGTTCAACTTTACGTTTCTCCTGGTTGATTTTGGTAAAGTGTTGGGTGCATCTGCGAATGAGCTCCAGCAAAACTCAAATGCTTCTTCTAGAGAAGACTATATTCCACGAATATTGACTGTTTTGTTCACAAGATTCATGCGGCCTTTTGTCTTTTGTCTGTCATTCGTAAACAATAGCTAAAAAAATGAAACTACTCCGTCGACCAATAAGCGCTTCTGACCGGATTCCGGACAGATTTTGCGTCATCAGTATGGAATTTCTGTCGCTGAGTCGCAGACGTTCCTCCTCGCAAAACGTCCCTCAGCGACGATGAGCGACGAGAAACGTCTGCCATTCGCAGGCTAGAGGTCACTATCGCTCTTTCAAATCCCAACATCAATGTCAGTAACCTCGCTCAGTGTTACTAGGGAGCTTTAGTAACGACGACGGCGACGGTAACGAGAACTTCGAAAAAGCAATAGGTTTAGGGCCTGTTTACATGGAGGTGGGGGATCCCAGGTAGGTGAGGTAACCCTCTCAGGTGGGGTAACCCGCCTGTCCATATAATCTCTCATTTTAATTTGATCACGTTTACATGATAGGTGGGATGACCCGCCACATGTTACCTCACCTATCTGGAGTCCCCCACTTCCATGTAAACAGGACCTTAGATTAGCAAAACAACAATCCTGCACGTGCAGCACGCATTTTTGTACATTTCTTTGCCGTCACTGCACGATTACGACGTGAATATATCTAATTCCACGTTTTAAGGACGACGCAAACAAGCGACGACGAATTCTTCTTTCTCTATTTAAACCTGAGTTTGGTCCCCAAGAAATCAACTCCAGGGAAATATACGCCTACATTGGAAATTTTCGGCGAATTGGAATAAGCGCGACAAAGTTTGAAGAAACGCGAATTCGAATGCAATTTATATAAAAATTTAAGACAACACTTTTTCCAAGACGTAAAAGCCAAGTACTCCAAATTCGTAGACATGAACAAATCGGAAAAAGTTGTATTTCTTTTTAACAATATCGATCCATATGTTTATAAAAAACTTGGCTAAAAGAATGGGAAATAGAGATTTCTAATTTTAACTTTTAATTAAATACTATTTGTGTATTTTATTATTTTAAATATAAGTAAATTTATAATTGTGATAGTTTAAAAGCAATATCATTTCTGTATATGGGAATGCTAGTAAAATGTTATGTTACGTTATGTTATTATTCATTAAAAATATTTTCCCGACTCTGGTTGGCTAAAAGCACTCGTTTAATTCACCATAACCAGTTACCGATGACCAAATTTGGAAGAATTTTGTGTTTA